ACGTGACCCCATGTAAACGCTCTACACCCCTCTCAGTACGATACAAGTCAAGGAAATTCAAAATGAAGGAAAAAAGAAACACTAAATGGTGGGCAGACGAGTCATAGCCAGACAAGACAATGGTGGGGAGGAGAATTGAAAAAGACCTCGTGAATTTTTTCCCATTCTCTGTCTTCCTGTTTTGGCAAATTTCTACAGTCCTATGAGCCATTCTCTGCTAGATTTATCTTGCTAGTAATTTTCTATTTTCCTTTTAGCTTTTGGTTTTCAATTTTTAGAGTTAACTCAAGGCAAATTCTAGTGAGCTCTGTCATAATCAAAAGTCTCTCCTATCCTAGTTTAATTTATTTATATCAAATTGCGGGCATTTGGATAGTTTCATTAGCCATTTAGGTGACTTCAGGCTTCACAGAAGAGAAGAAGTATCAAAGTGAAAAAATTTGAGAGAGGGGGGGGGAACAGAAGAATGTTTCAAAGATGTAAAAGAGGCAGAAACAAAGGTAGGAAAAGGTGAGGTGAGTACTGTGAAAGTGGTCGAATATGACATACAATGGGGTGAGGGTAGTTTGAAGTAAGAAGTCAACTGCCAGTTAATAGACTTTTTTGCCGTATGAGTATACGTTGCCCAGGGGCACCACGCGGAGGTAAGTGTATTACACACCCCATCCTAGTTTAATTACCAGGGTGTAGGAGAGTAAACACAAATTGCAGGGGAATGACGAAACTCAGAATTAAACCTTTCCATCATGTGCATGACCTCACTTGCCACTTTCTCTTAAAGTCTACTTCTTTTTTTGGTTCATTTCTTCGTTTAATACTTGCTTACTATTTCCACATTCGACTATTTTCTTTTTTTCTGAGAGCCGTTTGCCTTTGCCTTGAGCACTAATTTATTTACCTCAAATGGCGGACGTTTTGATAGTTATCATTAGCCCCTTCAGTTGACTTCGGACTTCACAGAGGGGAGGCACATTAAAGTGAGAAAAACTCGAGATTTGGGAACAAGAGTTATTTAATGATGTAAAGAGACAGACAGACACAAAGGCAGAAAAAAGGTATGATGAGTACTGTGTAAGTGGTGAACTATGACATACAGTGGGGTCATGGTAGTTTGAAGTCAGAAGTCAACTTCCGGGTTATAGACATTTTGCTGCATGAGTTTACATTGCCCAGGGTACACCACGTGGAGGTAAGTCTATCACGCATCCCCCCTGAGCACTAATAATACTTCTTATTCAGGTCGTACCATTAAGTTGGCTACTCTAATTACACTAAGTCGGTGCAGATTATTTTCCATTCAAGTTTGAAAAATGTCAGTTCCAGGTGTGAGTTAATCAGTAAAGCGTTTTGAACTCAAGTATATTATGACGTGTCAAATAAACCAGAGGAGTATTATGGGGAAAACTTCGTCATGAAATTTTCAGAGGTGGGAGTTGATTATTTATTTATTTAATTGCATGAACTGCATGAAATGTAATCCTAAAATCAGTTCCAAGGGAGACATCACAATCCTCTTAAAAATCCACTTATTTCCTACTTATTTATTATAAAAAAAACGACAAGTGAACTGAGCTGCATTTCAAAAAAAAGCACAAAAGATTCGACCTGAAGAGAAAATAGAAAATCGCATGAAAGAAGTTTCTTAAATTCTCTCATTTTTTGTCTATTAAATACAGCAACATCTTCCAACTCTCTCTCTCTCAATCTCTCTCTCTCTCTCTCTCTCGAATTGATGTACTCGAGATAACAAATTAAATTTTAAAAAAATCACAGAAATAAGCGGGTTTGAATTAATTAGGCTGTCCAGAAGAACTAGCTTTATCAATATCTAATCCAAACTTATCGTCTAGACTTAAACAAATCGTAGTTAAATTGAATTTTCCTGCTCACATTCCTACCTATTATTAGATTGTAGCCTGTAAAGCGGTGATGCAAATAAGCGCGATTGTTATTGAAAGCGTTTTTTAGGTGAGGACTTCATTTTCTAGTGTTCATATTTATTTCCCAACTCTTTCCTTTCTTTGAGAGTAGGAATGAAGGAGACCATTGAATCACAAGCTTTCCTCATTTTCTGGTCATTTACAAGTTAAGTGTCTCCAGTGGGCTCTAGAAGACTTGCTGCCACTTGAAAACTCTGCAATTATCCCCAAATTGGAGTTTCACATCATATGAATACTGAATCTCGAATTGTTTTTATGTACTTTTTTACAATATTAATCAAGATTAACCAGGTATAGCTGTAATTCGATGATTCTGAACCATTCACTCTATGGCCTTATCTCTATAATATATAATGGCATTAATGATATGAAAGTAGTCAATTTTATAAATACTTCTTTTATTGGAGTTGAAATTAACAACCGATATAGCAATACTTTAAAACTATTTGTTTACTTTGATGCCCTTGTCACCCTTGTCAGTGAATTGGAAGGCTTCAACCAATCTCAACGCCTCATCCACAGACCTTCCGACTGGATAGTCATTCACTGTGAAGCTCCTAATCTTGCCCTCTGGGCTTATAATGAAGAGGCCTCTGAAAATAATTTAATTTTAAATAGAGTCCATAAAGCGCGCGTTATTCGTTGTCAATCCAAACAACGATGATTAAGCACAGCTGACTCAGCTAAAAGCAATTCCCGCCTTCTTGTCAAGAACACCATAGGCATGGGCAATTTCCATATTCTTATCTGCAAGAAGGGGCAACTGCAAAGGGCCTAAACCTCCCTTTTTTTCGATCAACATTGCATCAAGCCAAGTGAGAGTAGTGAGAGTCCGTTGAACAGGCAATAACTTCACAGTTAATTTTCCTAAAACTCTCCAAACGATCGTTGAAAGCGAGAATTTCAGTTGGGCAAACAAAGGTACTATTATGGGAAAGATAGTTAGACATTTAAGCGATGGAGCCATAATATGTGACAAAGTCTATATTATCCACAACTCACAAGTCGAGTGGGTAGAAGAACAGAATGCAGTATTTGCCTTTATAGTCACTCAGGCTGATCTTCTTAAAGTCCATGTTGACAACGGCTAAGCCGGAGAAATCAGGAGCTGAATCACTGGGTTTCATGGCGATAACTGGCAGCGCACTCTCTTTCACTCACTCATTATAGGCATCAAAGTCTCAACTATTTATACCTTTGTCGGCAAATGAAGCACTGAAGTGGAATGCGCCTCCTAAATCAGCCCTAATTGAACAAATAATTTAAAAAAACCCCTTTGCTTTCCCGCGTTTTCATTGGCACTCATGTCTCGTGCAAGAATATTCTCGAATGCGTGAGTTAATTATGCTTTTCACTAATAAGACGAAAATAAGTAATTCAATCAAACACTCAAATGAATTATTTTCGCCCTGTTTCCCCCNCCCCCCCCCCCCCCCCCCCCCCCGGTTATTGGATGACTCATAACGTACCGATTTTCCGTTAGACGGGTTTATTCAGGCCGCAACTCTAGTGATCCAAACGCCCTGGTCGAGATATTGCCTAGGTGATTCATTTTAGTTGATTTTTTTCCACTTAATTGGCTTTACTAAGATAGATAATGAACTAATTAAAGGATATATTTTGCTAAACTTTGTCAATACCTATACAAACCTGATTATAGGACATTTTTCGTAAGCGCATTACACTCTGCCTAAGAAGTGGGCGCAACCATCACTTTTATATGATGAAATATCATCCAAGACATTATAGGTAAGCTATTTCTTTCATTTAGTCCAATTGAATTCGGAAAAGTGTTCCGAACTGAACTTCAAAGTGGGAGAATTACTCATTCAATACGAAGATAGTTCATCATATGGTAATACTTTTCGCAGTCCTTTCGATCCGCGTTCCGAGGATTTACTCCCATCTTCACGGGAAGACGAATTGAGAGATTATGGTACTCCCTCGGGAAAGGGTAAACATCAACATCGTCATTCGGAATGGTCCTTTTTCGAAGAAGTTAAGACAATCACTGAAGGTGACAAGTTTGACAGATTACGTAAGTTGTGTAATTCTTACGGAACGTTTTATTATTCAAACAGTCATTTGACTGTCTTGCTTTACTTATTTCCAATGCACGTAGTCGCCTTTCCATCATTGTCCGCTGACCGAGACGTGTGAATCACCAGAATTAATTATTTACAAACTCTACTAACGGACACGTCAATCTTTTTCAACTCAGTGTTCTTTGTCTCCACAATCATGCCATCTATTTGGGGAGTAAATAGTTATGATTTTTGCTAAGGCGCTGTTATTTTTTTTTTAACTTTTAAGTATGCATAAAATAATAGGCCCAAAACGAGACAAAGTCTTTATAAGTTAACTAAATTACAAAACAAAATATTAACCTTAAAAAGCATTTGACAGAGGAATGATAAGATAAGTCGAGGCTGTCAAGTGGAAGTTGAAAAAATGCAGGAAAATTAAGTGAGCTTTTGAATTTGGTTTCATTAGGTTTTGTCCCAATACTCAAAATTGCAAATTCGCATGCCTGGCCAGTACTTTGCCGGAAACCCAATTAGTATCAGTGGGTTAGACTGTAGGGTCGCGAATTCTCCAAGTCAGGAGAAAGCAATGATGTGCATCACGTGATTTCTAAATAAAAGATCTTATGAGGTGAGAGTTTAAGTTGATTTCAAAGTTGTATGTCTTGGCTTAGTCCATTTTAAGCACTGCGGAAATGACGATGAGGGTGGTGAAAACACACATTCTTTAAAATTAAACAATTAGGTTATTGGCTTTACCCGGCGCCAAACAAATTTTTGTTTATAAGAATTGTTGTAATTCTCTCCAACTGTCTCGAAATCCATTCTCCACAATTGAAAAGGATTTCTCACTCATCCTGAAAATGGTGACCCCGAACTTCTCAAGAAAGCCATAATCGAATTTTACTTTCATTCTATTGGACAATTGTAATAGCTGAGGTTTTAGGTCTTCGCGTCAAAATGATATTTGTAATGCGTACATTGACTGAGCAATGCATATAAATCCATTCTCCCTTTGATTTTTAACTTATTAAATGACAAACTACTTAAATATAGTTAAGTACCTTCTAAGCCGATTTCATCTCGAAGGCTCCAACCTCTGTTACCTACACACAGTCTTTACTATTTATTTATATCAAATGGCAGGCTTGATGATAGCCATCATTAGCCCTTTAGTTGATTTCAGACTTCACAGAGGAGGGGAACATTAAAGTCACAAAAAGTCGATAGGGGGAAGAGAAGAGTGATTTACAGATGTAGAAGAGACAGAGAGACAGACAGGTAGAGAAAAAGGTAAGGTAAGGTGATTACTATTTAAATGATCGAATATGGCATAAGTGGTGCCATGGTAGTTTGAAGTTAGAAGTCGCTGCCGATTTATAGACTTTTTTGCCCTATGAGTATACGTTACTCAGGGTGAACCACGTGGAGGTAAGTCCATCGCACACCCCACAGTCTTTACTATAAACGAAGAGATCAGCCCTCCCAAACCCCATTTTTGAAGGAGTAAATCTGAAGAAGCTCTTATCATTATCATCATCATCTCTCAACTGATAGATGATTCCATTCAGAGTGTCGATGAAAATTGTGAAATATGGTATTTTAAATGAAGTAACAGATTTCTATTGGTTCCCAATGCGTGGCGAAGTGAAGTTTTGTTTTTATTGCATGGAAATTCCTTTGCTAGATTTATTAAATGGCTCATTGCTAATATTAACTTTTAACGACAATCTAAAGTATGGAATCTCATCATGGCCTTAAAAACCTTCTCATGTTGACCAGTTCTAAATAGAGCATTTACTTTTTTCATTACTTCTTGGAAAAAAGGTAATTTTCCCATACCCGTCTTGGATATTCTAAAGAAAACTTTAATGGCTATCTTCAAATCCGGTTTTTCTCACTTAAGAGTAATTAATCAATTTAATTAGGATCACCATTTTTTTGATATGCATTGTCGTTATTGATTAGATTTCACTTTGTGCTGTAGAAAGCTCTGATGGATTAAATGCTTACGAGGAGGAGGAAGAAAATTTCGGACCACAACCCATTCCCAGTCGACGGAAAGATGGCGGAGATGTACATCCAGCCAGTGGTGGCAAGGAATTGTATATTCGACAAGAATCTGAAGAGGAAAATGACGATTTGGAAGACAGTTGGGCAGAGGAAGAGAGTCGACTTCGGCCTCCTGCTCTACCCATCAATCTTGAATCCGCGCTTGCAGAATTACCAGGTACATTAGCTTTTATTAAGTTAGCTTGAATATATATATATATATATATATATATATATAGTTATCATTAGTCTATTCTGGCTTCCCAGTAACTCCAGGTTTCTGTCATTTTCTGTCGGACTGTACATCACATTAGGTGAGTCTTCTCAATTTCCTCCTGTAGGTCACGTAGGGGCATCTTGGTTAGTCGCACACTCCTATTTTGTGAAGGTGTTTCGCCAGGCAATCGTGCCAAATCGTCCAAATTCTGCAACAGCTTCGATTCTTGGCCAGTCGGCTATGTTGAAGAGTGCTACTGTCCACTGCTTCCCCTTTTTCGGGCTTTAAGTTCGTTGCTTCTCGGAAACTTGAATTCTCTCATGATAAAGGTCTTCATTGTGTGGAGAGATATTGTGATCCCCTTCTTAGCAAGTGTGCCAGCGTGAATATGCACTTTCTAAATTACTTTATTTCGTCTTACTTGAACTACCTTGATATTTATGAGTGCGTTTAGCAAAATACTTTCTCTGTTCTATTGATTGCTACGGATTTATGACCGAAAAATAGCTTCCGCCGTTTAGTGACTTTCAAGAATTAAAAATAATGGAAAAAATTTAGTGTCGGAGACATTAGCCTCCAATTCTTGCGAACACTACAGCCCCTCATGGCTTAGACAAGTTTTACAAGAGGTGAAAAAAAGTGATTTTTGCAAGAAAGCTTTAGCTCGTTCTCTATTCTCAATCATTAATATCGAAATGAGATAATTCAAGTTCTGTGTAAATGCGCATTGACGACAAAACTTCCAAATGCCTTAAGGAAGTGATTTTGTCCAATCGAGGTAAGAGATCTATTAGTTATAAGTAATCGATATCTAGATATTTTAAATCAACCAATAGGAAATGGTTTCGTATGCTAAGAACACGAGTGCTACCTTCGTGGTAAGTCAGAAAGTGATATAATTCTTATGAGTTTGTTGGGATTAAATTCCAATCAACAAGTTGTAGAGAGTGGAGTTCAACAGTTACTTCCTGTCAAACTAACTGCAACTTATCGCAAGTTCTTATGAATAAAAGAATAAATTGCTATGCATCACCTACTCTGGCTAGTATTTAGAGAAAATGTGATGAATTCATTATTTAACCTCTCTTTTTTCTTGCTTATTTAGTCGAAGATCCTGCAACTCGAACTAAACGTCTCCGACCTTTACAATTCCCATTGTATGTTAATGTCGGTGGAGATCAAGATAGGGCACTCTACAATCGAAATAAGGTTTACTCAGATATCAGACCTCTTAGAACCATGGATCAGAATATTCCCGGAGTGGGTAAGAGAGATGGTTAAAGAAATGATTACCGGTTTACCAAAACGTCGGTATTAGTTTCCTTCCTTATTTGAATAGAACTTCCCGATACGGTTGTGATTCGCACTCGACGTCGAACAATGAGTGGGGTTACCGGTTTCCTTCCAAGAAGTTCTGCACTTTCCTCAAGTTCTGTCTGGTTTGGAGACCATCCAGTACCTTCAAAAACCCAAATCTATGCAGCAGACAACTCACCACTTCGACTTTCTACCATTCAGCTTCAAGCCCAGGCTGAAATTGCTCGTAGACGTTCAAGAAGCAATCTCGCAGCTAGGAGTATGTTATCAGGAACTGGAGGACATGAACGTAGTCGAAGTTTGGTAGGGTCTAGGGCGACACTTGCGGCATCTACAGGTTCTCTTTACGGCCCAACCGGTAGAAGGATACACGGTGGGGCCCCTCTTGTTGAACGAGCTATTAAAAGGCATGTGAGTCATAGAGATGGATATGAGACGCTGTCATTGGTACACGTTCCTAGATTGAGTGGCGAGGAGACGTCTTCTGTAATTGTTGCCGCGGCGAACACCGCGGAACAGCGACGTTTGAAAAGACCTGCTTCGTCAGCCTCAATCTACAAACCTCGCTCTGGGCATGCGCCTTCCCAAATCGATGCCGCAAGAAGTAAGACTAAATTTTTGTTTTAATAACTATTATATTGTGACACAAGCAGATTAATTTATATCAAATGGCAGACTTTTGATAGTTATCATTAGCCCCATAGTTGACTTCGGGCTTCACAGAGAGGAGGAACATTAAAGGCACAAAAGTCGAGAGGAGGGTCTGGGACAGAAGAGTGATTTATAGATGTAAAAGAGACAGACACAAAGGTATATAAAAAGGTAAGATGAGTACTGTAGAAGTGGGGG